GAAAAGAGAGAGTGAGACAGTCACACTAGACTAATAGACGAGACAGGACAAACACTGGCGGACGAACCATTAGCGTGTGAGGAGGGATGCGGGTAGGGAGTCATGCTGGGTTCTGAGCCGTGAGGGTAGGAAAGGGGGGGGGAAACGTTACGGCTCCCGTGTTGGAGGGGAGGGAGAATGGTAGGTTGGCAGAACTGCGGGCGCCTGGATTAGCGGCTGCTGATGCGGCGTGGGGCTCGGCTTAGTGAGGCGTGATCTTAGGCCCTCATAATGGACGTCTAGGTAAACATGGCGGTTGATGCTATCCGCGTTAGAGTGCCATGCCTCTAGGAATTCTCTCGCCCGTTTTGTGTCGGCCGTGGCGATGACCTCGGTGTTATCACAATTAAAACGGTGGTCGCACTGGAGTGCGTGTGCAAAGACGAGGGACAGTGGATCACGGCGACGGACAGCTAGTTTGTGTTCATTAATACGAGTTCCCAGGCGTCGTCCTGTATGACCAACATATACGCAGGGACAATTTGCACACGGGATGCGATAAATGACGTTAGTCTGTTCCTCTTTGGGGATAGAATCCTTTACTCGAGTTAAGACTGTGCGCAGCGAGGATGCAGGCTTGTGGGAAACGCGAATACCGAACTGACTTAACTGACGGGCGATCATTTCTGAGGTCCCCTGCATATAGGGCAGGGAGAAGAATTTCCGCGTCACGGTTTCTCCATCTGAGAAGGGGTCTCGAGGTTGTGCCTGACGTCTGAGGCAGTTCTTCACGAAACTGACTGGGTATCCGTTAGATCGAAATAGCCGATATAGAAAGCCTACTTCTTTCTTCAGCAGATCTTCATTGCTGCAATACCGGTAGGCCCGGTGGAAGAGGGTTCGGACGCAGCTTCTTTTGTGAGCCGCAGGGTGATTGCTTCCATAATTGAGGATGATCTCAGAATCAGACCCTTTTCTATGGACGCTGGTTGCGAGGTTACCGTCGTCCAGCCTTTGTATTTTCACGTCCAGAAACGACAGACTGTCTCCCACTGCCTCTTCGCGGGTAAATTGTATGGCCGGAATGACTTCATTCAGCCTCTGATGTAGCCTTTCGACGTCGCGGTTCTTTATTACGACAAAGGTGTCGTCTACATAGCGGAGCCACATTTTGGGGTTGAGAGTTTGAAAAACCTCATGTTCTAGTCGCTGTAGCACTACTTCGGCGAGTAGACCGGATATTGGGGAGCCCATTGGACTTCCCTTCACCTGTTGGTAGTACTTATTGTCGAACTTACAATAGTTCTTAAGGCACAGTTGGAGCAGTTCTATAACGTGGTGCGCTGGGATACTAACAGGATTGTCCTGTAGTCGTTGGGCTACGCAGTCAATTGCCAAGTCGTGCGGTATTGAAGAAAATAAGGCAACGACGTCAAAAGACAAGAAGCATTCATCAGTGCTTACATTGAGGCCGTCAATCCGGTTGAGGAATTCGTTGGAGCTGTTAATGCTGTAGCGAGATCCGTGAGTTAGCGGCTTCAGATGCTTGTACAGCAACTTGGCTAAATTGTAGGTAGGGGATCCGATGAGCGGTACTATAATCCTCAGTGGGGCACCAATTTTGTGAACCTTTGGGAGACCGTACGCGTGTGCGACATGGGGATCACTGAGGGTCATAAACTTTGAGTCATCTGGACCTATGACTTTCAGACGAGCAAGCTCATTAACCTTTTTCTTGATGGCTGCGGCTTGCTTTTTCGTTGGGTCTTCGGTGAGAATGGTGTAAGAATCCGTGTCACTGAAGATTATATTCGCCTTGTTGACATAGTCAGTTTTGTCCATGATGACGGTAGCGCCACCTTTGTCGGCAGGAACAACAACGATGCTGTGGTCCGATTTCAGTGCTCGCAATCCTTGCGCTTCTTCTGCCGGTAGAGTTTGCTGGTGTCTTTTTTGCCGGAGGATACCGGTGGCACAGCTGCGTATGTCCGCGCGCTTGTCTTCAGGCAGGACAGAGGTCAGTAGAATGGATTCGAGACCAGCTAGAAAGTTGGTAGGTGTAGCATCCGTGGGATTAAATCCTATTCCCTTAGACAGGAGGTTGATTTCAGCCGGTAGGAGATTCCTTTTCGAGAGGTTAACAACTCTCGTGGCCATATTTCTTCCATTCATGGGGCGGAGCAGAGACTGGAGTTTCATCTGGAGGTCAACTCTCTTCTTCAATCTCGCATCCTTGGCTGTGGCATTGATTCGCTGTTGCACCTCCTCGAGTACATTTTCAGGTAAGGCTGAAGCACACTGGTTTTTAAGGTCAGCAAGAGTGGTTTCGAATCTGCGAAGTCGATTGTGGACGTCAGATATTATAGCCCCCAGAACGCGCCATCCGTATTTGTACGCAAGGGATCTCCCAGTCTCATTCGACAGCGTTGGTTTGAAACGAAGAGACTTCGGTAACACGCCACGATCGCGGCAACGGTGGAGGAAGGTCAATTCTTCGAACGTCGTCGCCTGTCTCTGTGCAAATTTCTCTTAACGTCTCGTAAGAATAAGCGTTTGACGCCCAAATATATGTTGTAGAGTAGAAGTGGTAGGCATTCCGAGACGATATAATGAAAAAGGAAGAGGTTCTTCGGAAAAAATCGAGTTGTACTCGTGAATTTTCGAATTGGTGACACCAACCCGTCGTCAGACGAAATGAAGAGAAAAGAGAGAGTGAGACAGTCACACTAGACTAATAGACGAGACAGGACAAACACTGGCGGACGAACCATTAGCGTGTGAGGAGGGATGCGGGTAGGGAGTCATGCTGGGTTCTGAGCCGTGAGGGTAGGAAAGGGGGGGGGGAAACGTTACGGCTCCCGTGTTGGAGGGCAGGGAGAATGGTAGGTTGGCAGAACTGCGGGCGCCTGGATTAGCGGCTGCTGATGCGGCGTGGGGCTCGGCTTAGTGAGGCGTGATCTTAGGCCTCAATTTGATAATAGGTACTATCAACAGGTAAAGGGAACCCCGATGTGCTCACCAATATCAGGACTTCTCGCCGAACTAGTTTTGCAGCGACTAGAATAGATAGTCTTCCAAACTATCCAGCCTAAACTATGGCTTCGTTACGTTGATGACACCTTTGTCATATTAAAGAAGTGTGAAGTCGAACGTCTTCACCAGAGACTGAATGACGTCTTCCCAGCCATACAGTTTACCCGCGAAGAGGCAATTGGAGACAGCTTGCCGTTTCTGGACGTGAGAATACAGAAGTTGAGCGATGGTGCCCTGGCAATGAGCGTCCATAGGAAAGACTCTAACTCTGAGATTATCCTCAACTATGGAAGCAACCACCCCGCAGCTCACAAAAGAAGCTGCGTCCGAACTCTGTTCCACCGGGCCTACCGTTATTGTAACAACAACGATCTCCTGAACAAAGAGCTTGCTCACCTGTATCGGTTATTCCGCTCTAACGGATATCCGATCAGTTTTGTTAAGAACTGTCTCAGGCACCAGACACAGTCGCAAGACCCCACCGCCAACGGAGAGATTGTTATGCGAAAATTCTACTCCTTGCCATATATGCGTGGAACTTCCGAAATAATCGCTCGGCAGCTCAGTCGCCTGGGTATTCGCGTTGCCCACAAACCGGCATCTTCACTACGCGCAGCAATATCTCGAGTGAAGGACCCCCTCCCCAAAGAGCAACAAACGAATGTAATTTATCGCATCCCGTGTGCTAATTGCTCTTGCGTGTATGTTGGCCATACAGGTCGATGCCTGGGCACCCGTATCAACGAACACAAACTAGCTATCCGTCGGCGAGACCCCCTGTCCCTCGTCTTTGCCCATGCACTCGAGTACGACCACCGATTCAATTGGGATGGCACTGAGGTCGTCGCCATGGCTAACACAAAGCGAGCGAGGGAATTTCTCGAGGCTTGGTACTCCGATGCGGGTAGTATCAACCGCCACGTTGATTTAGATGCCCATTACGAGGGTCTACGTTCACGAATGACTGCCCCCTGCCCTAATCACGCATCAACGACCGCGAATACAGCCGCCCGCATTCCAACTGATTCACCACCCGCCTTCCCCCTCCAGCACGGCGTGCCGTAATTGTTCCGCCTCCTCTCCCTTTCCCCGCCCCTCACTCAGTGACCTACCATGACCTCGGGAGCCCACCCAACCACCCCCCCCTTCACACGTCAGTGGTCTGTTCTGTCCTATCACGCTAACTGGTCTACTGTGACAACATAACTTTCTCCCTCGTTTTGATTTCGTCTGACGACGGGTTGGTGTCACCAGCTCGAAAATTCACGAGTAAAACTCGATTTTTTCCGAAGAACCACTTCTACTTTTCATTATATCGACTCGGAATGCATACCCCCTCTGAGCTACAACGTATATTCGGGCGTCAAACGCTTATTTTTACCAGACGTTGGGAGAAATTCACACAGAGACATGCGATGACTTGCGAACAACTGACTTTTCTACACCGCTGTCGCGATCACGTTGTGTTACCGAAGTCTCTTCGTTTCAAACCGACGTTGCCGAATGAGACCGGGAGATTTTTTGCGCGCAAATACGGATGGCGTGTTTTGAGGGCTGTAATATCGGACGTTCACAATCGTCTCCACAAATTCGAAGCAAAAATTACTGACCTAAAAAATCAGTGCGCTTCAGTGCTACCTGAGCACGTGTTCGAGGATGTGCAGCAAAGAATAAACGCCACCGCCAAGGATGCCAGATTGAAGAAGAGACTTGATCTCCAGGAGAAACTTCAATCACTTCTCCGTCCTACGAACGAAGGGAATTCGACCACGAGAGTTGTCAACCTATCGAAGAGGAGTCTCTCACCTGCGGAAATCACCCTCCTATCAAAGGGAATAGGATTTAATCATGCGGATGCCACACCTACCGACTTCTTAGCTGGACTTGAGTCCATTCTACTGGCCTCCAACATTCCGGAAGACATGCGCGCGAACATACGAAGCTGCGCCACCGGTATTCTGCGGCAAAAAAGATACCCACAAAATCTACCGGCCGAAGAAGCGCAGGCATTACGATAATTGAAGTCAGATCACAGTATTGTCGTTGTTCCCGCAGACAAGGGTGGCGCTACTGTCACTTCTTTTATATATATATATATATATATGTATATAATCCATAGAGATATAACTAGGAGGATAGAATTCTTTGGGAAACAGTAAGCTTTATTGTGTAAATTTTCGAGTCTGGTTTCGCAGCTCGTCTTCAGACAACGGGAGTGCAGATACAAGTAACTTCTAGAGCGACTCTGACAAAGGGGTTCTATGATTGGTCAAGCTCATATTCTCGGGATTGGTTGAGTCAGTTTGAATCTGTCCTTAACGATTTTGTATGTGGCATCTACACCGATATGCCGGTTGATGCGTGCCTCATCTGAGTGCATAGCCTCTAGCAATTCGCGGCCTTTCCTTATTGGGCAGGCGCCAACAATGCGAGTGTTTTCCCATGCAAATTTGCGTGCATTGTCCAGTGTGTGCATGGCCACCTGACTTTTCAAAGCAAACAAGCTTCAATCGTCTTTTGAAACGTCAGAACAGTAAAACTGGTTCCCGAGATCGCCTTTTTTACATTTATGTCCGGGACGCGCATCATTGCTTCTATTAGCATATATATGTATATGTTTTCCATCATCCCCCTAGAAATGTAGAAGGGGCGAGCTCATGGACCGAAGTATGTTTGGATCGACGTTTCGGAAACTCGTTTCCATCATCAGAGTAGGGCATTGATTCTTTCTGCTAGCCTTGATTGTTTCGGTCTTGATGCCTGCCAGGTATTATATCTGTGCCTGACTCACGAACCTTGTCCTGCCCGTTCGCCACTGATTAATGTTTACCTCTCCGTCATTGACTGCCGTTGGGCTCGCGTCACTTTTATCCGCTTTGCAGCCGTTGTAATTGTTGGCAAGTCAGCGTGCTTGCTGTCCTGCCCCTCATCAGTCAACGAACCGGTCAGTTGTTGGTGCTTGTGTGGGTTGATTTCAGTCTCGTGAGCGCGACAGTGAGGTAGTGTTCCGCGCTCGTCGCGTGATCTCCAGCCTTCGCTGTTACGTTGCCAGTCGAGGACCACTTTTTGAGCATCAGTCTGGCCACTTTGTCATTGGCTTGTTTCCTCAAAGGCAAACTTGTGGTTCTTTTGTTGTACATAGCCATAAACCACAGAGTTTATTTTGCGGTTGATTGCGAGCTGGTGTCCATGCAATCTTGTACCAAGGCGTTTGCCCGTCTCACCAACATACTTCGTATCACAGTTTTGGCGTGGCATGCTGTTGGTCGCCGCTGATTGTCCTGCCAATGTTAGCGGGTCGTTGGGCTTCATTATTTACTGTTTGATGGTCCAGATACGTTGACCATACTTTCGTCATCATAAAAAGGAGCGAAGTGTAGAATTTCCAGGCACTGTTGAATTCAATCTTTCCCGGCATCCAGTTTACTATGAAAATAAAGGTCAAGAATCGTTTGGCCTTCGTCGGCGTACAAGTGACCAAATCGGCGGACGAGAGGATAAGCACAACGGTCTACCGTAAGGTAACTAACACCAGGCGCATTCTCCACCTTAGAAGCAACCACCCTCTCGGTCACAAACGCGGTTGTGTTAGAGCACTCTTCCAACATGTTCAAACCACTGTAGCGACGACACTGGGAGGCAGAATAACATTACCGACAAATACAAGAAAGACTGAAGTGGCCATTTCTGGCTTGATAGCTGTCACCGGCCGGCCACCGGCCTACTCAGGTGGTGCGATAGCCTTCATAAGCGGGCAGTGGTCACAGTATTGCATACAGTCTGTTCTTTGTTCTTCAGTCTTTGTCCAGAGTAAGCGGCTGACTCAAGAAATTGTTGTCCCAGTTAATCAGAGTTCGCTGCATGGAATTTTGAACCCGCTACTTACCGTGTCAAAAGGATGCAGTTTAAAAGTCGTCTCCCACTTCGGTGGTACAAGGCACCATGTTTTTTTTTTAACTTCAATGCTCCAAAAATTGGTCTGCACAACTACTTCCTCCTAACATACTTCTATAAAGTTACTCATATAACATCTCTTTTGGGTTAACTCGTGTTTCAAAGTTACGCAGAGCGAGTTCAGTCAGACTTTGGTGCTCTGCGCCTATTTTATATTCATAGTGTGAGCTTTATTCCGCAACCGTCTCCACGACAACAAGTATTTTTTCTGTGCAGCTCCGATGGGTATATAATGATTCAAGTATGGTAAAGAAGTTACAAAGGGGGCATTTTTCCATCTCGGTATCTTTTCCGGCGTTCTCTTTTACACTGTGCTTTTATTTTTCGCAGGAGGTGCTATCCGCCCTTAAGTCGACTGACGCCTGGCTTGTCAACGACGGCTTGAATGTTACTTTTAACATTCTAATTG